CCTGGGGGTCGGGGCGCAGTGGCGGGGGTGGGCGGGGAGGCGGGATGTCCCCGGCTGGCTCCAGGGAGGCCCTGGGCTTTCTCATCACATCCTGGAGCTTCTCCACGCGAACCCGGCGCAGATGTGACAGTGTTCTCATGGAGGAGAAATTCTCCAGGAACGTGTCCAGGGGCACCTCACCCTCCAGGAACTTCTCAGCCATGGCCTGGAAGACACAAGCTCCAGTGGCATTGGGTCTGCAGGGATTGAGGCCACCTGAATACCGCCAGGTCAGAGGTCAGCTGCAGCCCCCACCCCCACCCCAGCCAGGCTGCAGGAGCTGCGTTCTTCGTCCCTCGCTTTGGGAATTTCTCTCTACGGCTCTTCTCACTGGTGATGTATTATTACACAAGCACGTGTTTAACTTATCCTGTCTCCCCCACCAGGATGTCAGCTTCTGGATGGTGGGGACCACCTGTCATGGCCACCACTGTTCCCCACCCTGGCATCAAGCCAGGCTCATGGCAGATGTTGAACTGGGTGTCGATTGACCAGATGAACACTGGCTCCCTGGTCACTTGCACAGCACAGCCCAGGGGCTGAGGGGCCTGGCAGAGAGCAGTGAGATGTGGAGAGAGCCAGTCTGCCCACGGAGAGTAAAGATGGGCCCAGAGGGAAGCAGGAGAGAGCTGCCAGGAGAGGGAGGGGTTGGCAGCCTGGCTTCAGCCCTCGAAGGTACCTGCTCACTGCCCTTCCCCCCAAGGCCTGCAGCTGCCCCACAGCTGTGCCATCCATCGTTCATTTCCACTTCAACTAGTTAGACTGGGTTTCCGTTCCCTGCATCCCAAAGGGCCTCCACGGGGACTACAGGTGGAGGGACCATTCACCTCTGCCATCTAATAGAGCCTGGGTCCTGCGCCCTGCAGACGTGGGTACTCAGGATAAGAGCTCCTGCTCCCGATGAGCCGGACCCCCGGCTTCTCCCCTCTCCTGGGGCTGCCTGGTCTCTTCTGCTGCCCTCTGGCCTCTCTTCGCTCTCTGTGCAGACCGGCTCTGGGTGGAAGATGCTGCCAGGCCCCACAGCCCCTGGGCTGGGCCGTGCTAGTGACTGTGGAGCCAGTGTTCACCTGATCAGTGTTCATCTGCTCCAGGGGCTGACTCTGCAAGGAAGACCAGGTGTCAACTGCTGTCTCACCTCGGACTCTTCTTCAATCTTCATGCTTTCAATCTGCAGAAGGTCCAACAAGGTCCCTAGCTGCAGTGCTGAGGAGAACTTCTCTGGAAGGGAGGGTAGAAAGGTTGACATTTCAAAAGTGCCTCTTGATGCTGTGGTAGAGGCTGAGGTTTCTGCAAGGGTCCTGGAGAGTCCTATGTGCTAGGGGCCCTGCCATCGCCCTGGGGTCTCAGCAGAACCCCCTTCGGTCGGTTCCCTCTGGTCAGCTTCCTGAGCTGACAGGAGCTCAGTGAACAGACCCTGGCTCCCTGGCTCCCCAGCTCCCCATCCCGGCCGGGAAAGCAGGAGGCCTTAGGCTCCGCCCACCCACCCTAATCTGGTTCTGCTGCCCATGGGGTTACTTCCTCTGTCTGAGTGTCAAGTTCTCCACCTTGAGGACCAGATGCCCCTTACCTCCTCAGACAGCAGGCTGGGACACAGAAAGCCCAGACCAGGCTCTCCAGATGCAAATCCCAACTCTGCCTCTATGTAGCCAAGGAGCCCTGGCCAAGCTCCCGCGTCTCTCTGAGCCTCACTCCTCTCATCTATGACATGAGAACTACGACAGGACCTACACTGAGATGGCTGCTAAAGCACTTAGCCAGGCTGGGGACATGGTGACCTGCAGTAACTGTTGGCCCCTTCTTGTCCTGGGGAGGGAGAGGGACTCTGTTCTTCCAGGAGAGTCCAGAAACTCCCCCAGCTCCATGGGGAACCCTGAGTGAAGAGAGGCACCCCCTGTGCACATTCCCGAGGCTGGCCACCTACCCAGCTTCGCCTTCTGCTCCTGGCACCGCTCCACCAGCTTCCGGAGCTCCTGGTACTTGTCCGAGAGGTTTGAGCGGCTGATCTCCAGCGGACCCTGGAACTCCAGGTTCCGCTCGGCCAGGCTCCGGTTGGTGGCCAGCGCCATCTCCCGCTCCAGCTGCAGATCCTGGACCTACAGGGCAAGACACCTGACCATGAGACCTGCCACTCAGCTCCCAGTGGGCTGGGCCAGGGGCTCCTGGAACCTGTTGCTTACCGAGGGGAAGCCAGGCAACACTCAGCCCCCAATCAGAGTCAGATGGCGTGTTAAGTGCATGCTAAGTCGAATCAGTCATGTCCCACTCTGTGTGACACCATGGACTGTAGCTGGCCAGGCTCCTCTGTCCATGGGATTCTCCAGGCCAGAATACTGAAGTGGGTTGCCATGCCCTTCTCCAGGGGATCTTCTCAACCCAGGTTCAAACTCTGAGCAAAGCACTCTGATCCAGATGCCTCACAAAACCTTAACCCAACAGCCTCTGTGGTGGAGGCAGGTGGGGAGCTGGCACTAAAGGGACATGTGACGAGCGGGAAGAGCCCACTGTGGGCTGTGTGGAACTCAAGGGAGGGAGCAGAGAGGGTCAGAGGCTTCCTAGGAAGGAAGGGACCAAAAGAACCAACCGCTCATCCCCAGAATTCAGAGGCAAGAGACCTCCTCTAAGGTGCACTAACGTAAGGCCAGAACACAGGCTGGACACACCAGGAGGCCCCCAAATAAAGTCAGTCTGAGGAGTGCGAAAGCCAGGGCCAGCCTGAGACACAGATTCCAGACGGACCTGCCCTGCCTCCTCCACGTGTGTGTCCTGCAGAGAAGCTACGCAGATGAGCTAACAGGGGGCCCCCGGAGAACTGGAGGGGAGTCCTCAGGTGAGCCCCTGCACGAGCCTGGCTGAGACCATGTCCCCAGGCTGAGCGGTGCTCTTCCGCTCGGCGAGGTCCTTCGTGGGCGCCAGCCCGTGAGGTGGCAGCCTCAGAGCTTCTGAGACCTTCCCAGACCTGCTCTGACCTGAAGCCCCGTCCAGTGATCAGGGAGAGGAGGGCAGAGAAACAGACCCACACCCCTGCGGGAGCGGGGACTACACGCCAGGTTGTCACCAGGGGCACCAGCACCCCCAGCTGGGCTCAGGGTGCAGCTTTGCAAGACCGGCTTCTTCCAGGAACCACTGAGCAGCTTCTTCACCATGGTGAGCACATGGCGAGCCCCGCCGGGCCGGCTCGACCCCGAGCAGACGCAGGAAGCCGTGGGCGTCCTAGAGGAGGGGGTTTCGGAGGGCCTGGAGCCCTGCGCTCTGGGGCGGGCTGGAGCCTGCCCTTCGGGCTCCAGACTGGAAAGAGGACTGCCATGGTTACCAGAAATTGTGGGGCCTGGCCACACAGCCTCCCGGGTCTGCCCCCACACCTGGCTGTCACAAACACCCTCTGGAGCTGCTCAGCAAGGGCTCTGACTCAGGGACGCCTGCACTGTGGGGTCCCAATCTCATTTTCATCGGCCGTGAAAGCTTTCCTTCTCTTATGTGGCAGACCCAGAGGGGCGCCTGAAGTGCCCTGCTCAGCTGCCCCTTAAAGGGCCCCAGATCCCTGGTGCACGTGTCCTCTTTATATCTCCATTGCCTTTTCCCTGGGTTTTAGCCAGTAAATCTATGCCCGACACTTTCCCCTAAACCTGGTCCTACCTGTTTCTGCCCCCTCTCCCCAGAGCCTCCCCCAAATCTTTCTCCATCAGGAATTCACAATGAAGCCCTTGACCCCCATTATAAGAGGTCAATAAGACAGTTCAAGCACTGCGCCCAGAACACACACAGTTCCACAGGGAGAGTGGTCCCCTACTCTTTGCTCCAAGCAGTGTCCACACCCCAAACTCAGTGACCTTCCATCCCTCCTCGAATCCCATAGCGATGATCATGTCTCATAGCCCATGGGAGGAACCCTGTCCATAAAGTCTCATGAGTCTACAGAACTCATTCTTCACTTCCCCATGATCCCGTGAGTGTTCTTCCCTTCCGAGAATTCAAATCAATTAGTCAGGCACAGCCACAGCTGCATGTCACAAAACTCAACTTGCCTTTTGCCCACGAGGTTGTTTCTGCTGACATTTTCCATGATTCTGTGTTTCGCCACACCTCCCATGGGCCTGCCGAGCTTGGAGGTCAATGAATTCTAATTATGTAATTTGTCGTGTTTCTACAAAGTTCTGTGCCCTTGGGAACAGGCCTTGGTGTTTCTATCACACTGTGCTGGCGGCAGACTGGAGGAGCACTTGGGTGTTTAACATGTGAAGGCGAGGGGATGAAGGCTGGCATCGAGTCAGTTTGGAGCTGGGCCCTGGCTGAGCTCAGAGCCTCACTCACTCTAGGAGGCAGCCCTGGAGTTTAACCAAGACCAACCTCGTTCTGGGTGGCAGGACGCACCACATCTGGGCCCTGAGCCTCCCCTTACACCCTGCCCTGCACCCTGTGCCCTCTAGCTCTGATGAAGGCTGCTCCTGCAGGGAGCGGGGTGGTGGGGGCAGCCGGAGCACAGGCAAGGAAGGAGCCAGGACTAGGTCCGGCTGCACAGCCCCTCACGGAGAGGGAAGAGGTCTGCAGAGGCAGAGGTAGAAGTTGGGTGGCTAGGCTTCCCTTTTCTGGGGTCAGACACTGTGAATATACAGAAGAGACAAACAGCACTGTTCATCAGCAAAGACAGACGCACATGCCAAAGGCCGATCAATGACCTCGCCATTATTTGTGTCCGCGTCTCCCGACCATCAGGGGCAGGAGGTGGTGGCGTGCAGAGCTGAGGACAGGCTGCGGCCACTTGAGGCATGGCCGGGGGCGTGGCCAGCTCTGCAGCCGCACCTGGTCAACTGACCTCTTTGACCTTGCAGGGTAGTCACAGGGTCAAGGTGATGGGAAGGGCAGGGAGCGCCCTTTATAAAATGCAAAGCTCTGTACTTTCAGAAGGTGGCTTATTCCCGTGAGGATGGTGACTAGGAGCTGTACGTGATTAGGTGTCAGTTATAATTGAAAGGGATTAAACAGGAGATGAGCCTAATCCCAGTCCCAGAATCTCTCCTAGAGATTCAGGGCTGTTGGCGAAAGGCGGTTACACGATGGAACCAGTGCTTTTAGAAACACCTCCAAACCCAGGCTGGAGCAACAGGGTAGGGGCTCCGGGGGCACGCAGGTCCCTGAAGACACCAGGAGCCAGAGTTGGCTGGGGGCCCTGGACTCCCTGGCCCTGTCCTTCCTCCCCCCAGAACTCCCAGAGGGCCCAGGAACTGGACTGAGACCCCAGGGGCTCCTCTGGCTGGGTCCAAACCAGGGTGCAGGCCACAGAAAAGGGAAAGAGATGTGGCCCAAACTCCCAACAAGCCAACATCCCTGAGGAGGGCCCCAGTCCCATCTGCCATCTCTGGCCCCATGACAGCCTCCCCTACCTCCGGGGAGTCCTGGGCCAGTCGGTCGATGGCCTCCGGGTCGTTCTGCATCTCCTCCAGCTCCTCCAGGGTCTTGTCTTTTAGCGTTTCCATCTTTCCTGGGATCACAGAAGGACACTGAAGTGAGAGAGGGGCGGCTCAGGTAGAAGGGACCCCCGAGTCCATATTATTAATCTGTCAAAGACCAACTGGAGTTTCCCAGTGGTGCTGCCAGTCCACAGGGAGGCCCAGGGAGGGAACAGTCCAGCCACCCTGCCCATCCCCTGTTCCCAGGGAGACCAAGAAGATGCTTCTTTACCCAAACCATGAGGCAGCCAGAGGCAAAACCACGATTCCTGGAGGTGCTAGATGAAGCTCCCCAAGAAGCAGACAGAAAAGGCAGGAGGAAGGAGGCAGACAGCCTGGGATGGAGACTAAACTTGGCCCAAGGCCGCCTGCGAGCCCTGATGCCAGCACATACCCTAGGAGGAGTCTATTTCTGTCTGAACCTGAAATACATCTGCTTTTCACATGGGGCTCTGCCGGGTTCGGGTGCCTCCCTGCCTGTCATGTCTAGCACACCAACCACCTTGGGTTTGCCACAAGCATTCTCTGCAGCTCCACGTGCCACAAAACCCTCACATGCACAAAAACGAACCGTCACGTGTGTCCTCGTCAGAAAAGAACCGGAAATCGCCACCAAACTGGCCCCTGTGAGTACCAGAAGGAAAGGAAATCGACCGACCTGAACAGGACGCCTGCTTCGACGGAAGAGCTGGTTTCGGCGGCCCTCTCCCCGTCACTCTGCCCAGGGGGACATGGATCGATGGCTGCATGACACGAGGCCACAGCCAGGCCCAGGAGGACGGAGCTCCAGGGAGAAGAGGAAGCACTAACACGCTCAGGGCTCACTTCCCTCCTGCTGACAGCATCCTCCGTTCTCATCCATTCTCACCATCTCCAGACATGGGTTTTACAGCCTAGAGTTTTCACTACAAAGGCTCTGCGAGTTTTCCAAGGATCCTGATGCTACAGAAGCCCGGGGTCCCCCAGAGCCCCTCTGTGCCATGGCTCGGCGGGAATGACGCCTGGGCTGAGGGGGCACCGCGGAGTCCAGGCCCAGGGTTACGGCTGTGTGGCCAGAGGTGACCTCCAGGCTTGCTCCCTCATCTGGACCAGGAGGGGAAGGCATCTCCAGGGCAGAAGAAAGACGAAGGAGAAACCCATCAACGGAGGCCACATGATGCCTCTGCCAGGAAGTCCTGGGTTCAGCCTTCATGCTTCAGTGTTTATTTAAGGTGCCCCCCTTTTCATGCTCCAAAGTGTCCTGGTTTAGATAACCAATACTATGGTCACCTGACTGATAGATCTCTACAGGGCCACCCCCACTTTGTTACCTACTGAGGGCTGAATGTCACCCCCAACCTCCACGACAAGGATGCCAAGCTTTGTTGAGCACCTGAAACCTGGGGGGGATGCTTGGTGAGAATGCAGGAGCCACAGCCGCACCCTCAGGGCCCTGCATCGTAGGCCAGGGTGGGGCCCAGACATCTACGGGAGATGCGGACTTAGCTTGTCTGAGGCCGGATTCCGAGAAAGACAGCAGCTCACTGCTGGTCGTGTGCAATGGAGGCCACCAGGGACTGAGCACCGTGGTGTGTTTTACAACGCACTGCCTCTCCTACTCCTGTGAGGTGGGGGCAACTGTCCCATTGGTGGGTGGGGACTAGAAAGGTTACAAGGTGCAGAGTCAGAATTCTGCACTCTGTCTACACCTCCCTCTGAGACTCCCGACAAGCTTGGTCTAAAGGTTGACGGTGAGGGTCTGGGGAAGGAGCAGAACTGGGGAGGCCCCCGCCCTTGTTGTTGGTTAGTCACTAAGTCGTGTCCGATTTTTTCATGACCCCACGCACTGCAGTCTGCCAGGCTCTTCTGTCCATGGGGTTTCCCAGGCACTTGCCATCAGCAAGACGAGCAAGGGGAACTGAGCAACATTCTGAAGACCTGGAATGTCAGGGGCCTGGGCTCCGTCAGACTGACCTCGTCTGAGTCCCAGGCCCTGCCACTTACCACTGCTAGAAGTGGCTCAGTGAACTCACCCTGAGCCTCGGGTTCTTCATCTGTAAAATGCGTCAGTGCAACGGTCAACACAGGCAAAGTGCTGGCTCAGTGTGAGGCCTGGCCTAAGACAAATGCTGACAGGAGGCTCCAACGCTGCAGAAGTTACTTATTGGTTACTAAAGCCTCCAACACAGCCCAGATTTGCTGGGCCTCAGTGGCAGCTGGCCTGGATCCACCCACCAGGGAAAGGACCTGCCACACAAGGGTGTCTGCTCCTTTTCAAAGTTAGGGCTGGGTACAGAGACACCCCTAGACTGAGGATGGACGCTCCAGTGTGGGCAGCTGGCTGGCTGCAGACAAAAGTGCAGTTTCTGCAGTGCCACCTAAGAGGGCCCTAGCAGGTCCAGACACGCTCACCACGCACCCACCCCGGGTTGGGCCCCCACTCTCCCCCGACCACATACCACGGGAGGCAGCCCCAGCCGCGCACAGTGAGACCACATTCAAGGCGGCACAGCCTCAAGAGCCGATGGCACACTTTTCAGTCTCAGGACACCTGTCACTCCTAACACTATGGAGACCTCAAAGAGTTCTCATTTACGTGGATCTTAGCTATTGATAATTATCAAAATTAAAAGTGAGGGATTCTTAAAACACAAGAACATGGAAGCACACACACACTTACCGTCAGAAGGATGTTGTGTCGTGAACCCTCTGAAAACTTCCCTGTGTACTCATTCGAGAAAAAAAGGAAAAAGGAAAAAAATGCCCTAGGTTACGAAAATCACTCTGACCTCATGGACAGCCTGACAGGGTTCTCAGAGATCCCCTGAACACACTTTGAGAACCCCTGGCCTTAGATGTTAGGTGCATAGACTCAGGAGCCAGACTGCCTAGGTTTGAAGCTCATTTCTGCCACTTACTAGGTGTGGTATTTAATCTCGCTGTGCCTCAGTTTCTCCAGCTGTAAAACAGCAGTGCCTGGCACACCATAAGCACTACATAAGTCTTTGTTGTCACCATGACGCCCATAACCTCATTACACAGTGAGTCTCGCTATTATCCAACCTCAGAGACGAGGCTCAGAGGGGTGTCCAGGGTCACCAGGCCCGGAAGGGGCAGTGCCTGAACCAGTCCAGGACTCTTCTCACCATCTGTAGCAGCATCACCGGGGGTCCCTGCTGAAAGCCAGAGTCCCAAGTTCCGCGGACCCAGAACTTCAGGATCTCCACGATTCATTCATTCTTTGTTTCTTTCTTCCTCCCTTCCTTCCTTTCTCTCTCTTCCTTCTTTCCCTTCTTTCCAGTTTTACTGAGATATAACTGACATATAGCACTGTGTAAGTTTAAGGTGTAGAATATAGTAATTTGACTCACATCATGAAATGATGACAATAATTTTAGGGAACATCCATCATTTCCTACAGGTAACAAAATTAAAGAAACAGGAAAAAACCTTTGTGTGTGTGATGAGAACTCTCAGGATTTTCCTTCTTAACACCTTTCAAATATAACATATGGTATTAATTACACTTACGTTGTCTCTATAAATTGCATTTTTTAAATAAAATTTATAAGCTGTTATAAATTATGTTTATTATGGTATCTTTATCATCCCTATCAATTATCTACCCTATAATGGAAGTCTGTACCTTTTGATGGTATTCCTCAAACTCCCTTCCCTACTCCCCGTCTCTAGTAACCATGAACCTGATCTCTTTTACTATGAGTTTATTTATATATTTGTTTGTTTTTTTGAAGTGTGATTGACCTACAACCTTGTTAGTTCCTAGTATACAACACAGTGATTTGCTTCCATACATTTCAAAATGACCACCAGGATAAATCTGGTTACGCTCAGTCACCCTACAAAGATGTTAGTTATTGACTGTATTCCCTGCACTGTACATCTGATACGTGTGACTCATTTATTTTGCAGCTGCAAGTTTGTACCTCTTGGTTCTCCCTCACCCCACTGCACCCCTGCCTCTGTCTGTTCTCTATATCTATGACTCTGTTTCTGTTATGCTATGCTTGTTCATTTGTTTTTTAGATTCTACATACAAGTGAAATCACAGAGCATTTGGTTTTCCAGTCTTGACTTCCTTCACTTAGCATAAACGACTAATTTAATTTTAATGACGTTTTCAGGGGGCTCAATCTCCCTGTGCTGTTTCTGCTGAGTGTCTATCAAGCCTCCACATGCACTGCCCTCCGGGTGATGACGGCCTGGCTCATGCAGGCATGGAAGGGGGTCTGGCACATGAGAACAGGGGTCTTTCCCTCCGGGATTTAACTCTGGGTGTGAGCCCCGTGACATCAAGCATCACTGAGTGAGGCCACTGCAGTGTCCAGGCCAACCAGCAGAATGTGGGTGTATGGTCTGGAGAGGACAGCCCCAGTGCTGCGGCCGCTGTAGGGAGATCCATACGACGGGCACACCTGCCATGCCGCCAGGCTTTGAGCAGGCCAGGAGAGTCACCCTGCATGCAGGCAGGATGTCAGGAGGGGGGTCCTGGGGGCTCATCACGAGCAAGAGGCGCTGACGCTGGACACCCCTGCAGCCCCCTGAGAGGGCTGGCTTCCCTGATGGGCTGGCCTTCACCAGCCACTTTCCCTCTGCCACCCTCCTCCCCAAAAGGGAAATGTTTTGGTTAGAAGAAAGTCACTAAAACAAAATCTTTCTAAAACTTTCAAGTTATTTTACAACATTCTCATCTCTTTTTCTACTGGGGCTGCCCAAAGAGTAGTACGGATGCCTCTGTGCATCAGGTGTGTACATCCATCCTTTGTGAATTTGTAGTGTATATGGGTGTTCATGGGTGAGTCTGTGACAGAAAAGCAGCCAAGTCTTCCCCCTGGGCTTGAAAGTCCGAGGTCACACAAAGGGGGCCTGATGTTGCTAAAACCTGTATGAGGCTGCTGTTTCCACTAGGAAGAGGGGCAGCGGCAAGGATGTAAGTTTGGTAATAAGTCACTGCAGATATTGAGCAAGAAAGGAGACTTTCCTGTGTTAAATAAAGAAAAAAAAAAATCTTAGGAATAGAATTACCATGCTATGCTGTGCTACGTCACTTCAGTGATATTGGACTCTTTGTGACCCTATGGACTGTAGTCCGCCAGGCTCCTCTGTCCATGGGATTCTCTAGGCAAGAATACTGGAGTGGGTTGCCATTTCCTCCTCCAGGGGAGCTTCCCAACCTAGGGGTGGTGGTTCTTTACCACTAGCACCACCTGGAAGCCCATATGACCCAACAATTCCACTACTGGGCATATACCCTGAGAAAACCATAACTGAAAGAGACGTATGTACCCCAGTGTTTGTGGCAGCACTATTTACAATAGCTAGGACATGCAAGCAACTTAGATATCCACTGACAGATGGATGTATAAAGAAATTATGGTAGATATATATAATAGAATATTACTCAGTCATACAAAAGAACACATTTGAGTCAGTCCTAATGAGGTGGATGAACCTAAAGCATGTTACACAGAGTGAAGTAAGTCAGAAAAACCAGTATCATATATTAATGCATATATATGGAATCTAGAAAGATGGAACCTACTAGCCGGGTAGCAATGGAGATGCAGATATAGAGAACAGACTTGTGGATACAGTGGAGGGAAGGAGAGGGTGGGATGAACACAGAGAGTAGCATGAAAACATACAAATTACCATATGTAAAATAGATAGCCAGTGGAAACTTGCTGTATGCTGCAGGGAGCTCAAATCAGGTGGTCTGTGATGACCTAGAGGGATGGGATGGGGTAAGGTGGGAAATGGGAGGGAGGTTCAAGAGGTAGGGGTTATTTACCTTGATGTATGAATATCTATGGCTAATTCATGTTGATGTATGGCAGAAACTAATACAATATTGTAAAGCAATTATCCTCCAATTAAAAAAAATTGTTTTTAAATAAAAGCATATTAAAAAAAAAAAAGAATGGTGGCCAATCTAGAAAAAAAACAAGTGAGCACCCCAGGGGATTCCAGGATGTATCCACCTTTGCCACTACACACGGCCTCCCCAGAGTCACCTCCCCCTCCAACCGCCCTCCAAAAGAGGACCTTCCTCTGCCGTCTGAAGTCCCACACCTGGCTCTGTTTGATGGCTTTAAACTCCTGTGGCAAAAACCCCTGACACATCTATCTACCTGGTGACCCAAACAATCACATGTCTTTTAGGCAGTGAGAACTCACCCCCAAAGTGGGCAAGGAATGAAACATACAGCTCTCCTAATTAAACCGTCTCTCCCTGGATCAGGCCCCCTGACTGGGGAAAAGGATTCCATTCTGTGTGGGGAAACATGCTGGTATGTGCTCAACCTGGCATTCATCCACCCTCCCGTGATGATTCTCTGCCATTCCCTGATTGGGAAGGATTTGTTGTTGTTGCTATTGTTCAGTAGCTAAGTCGCGTCCGACTCTTTTCGACCCCATGGATTGCAGCATGCCAGGCTCCTGTCTTCCACTACCTCCTGGAGTTTGCTCTAGTTCAAATCCACTGAGTCAGTGATGCTATCTAACCATCTCAGCCTCTGCCATCCCCTTCTCCTTTGGCCTTCAATCCTTCCCAGCATATCAGGGTCTCTTCCGGTGAGTCAGTTCTTCACATCAGGTGGAGTTTCAGCAACAGTCCTTCCCTATCCATATTCAGGATAGGGAAAGATGGCTACTCTCAAAGACAGGAGAAAGACCATCTCAGTCTCACGGTCATACAAAGCCTCTCTTGTATCAATTCCCTTTCATTGTAGACTTCAAAGCATGCATGTTTGAAATGCCTCAAGAACTTCAGGTATGAAACAGCTCCATTTCATGCAGGTCATGAGAATGAACCCTTGAGGTCAGCCTGCAATTCTGATGTGCTCGATACTACCAGAAGTAGATCTCTTTCATGTAGCAAGTTTTCCGGTGAAATGTACTTGGCCACAGTGGGATGTGGGCTACAGTGCTTTTCTTCCTAATCCCCCTTCTCTGGTTTCTAACTCAACATCCCTCTCAATTCTATCATGCCCATTTCACAGGTGGTGAAACTGAGGTAGAATGGCATGTAACTTTGCGACCTGATGCACTGTAGCCCATCAGGCTCCTCTGTCCATGGAATTCTCCAGGCAAGAATACTGGAGTGGGTAGCCATTTTCTCCTCTAGGGGATCTTCCCGATCCAGGGATTGAACCCAGGTCTCCTGTACTGCAGGTGGATTCTTTACAGCCTGAGCCACCAGGGAAGCCCTTTGGAGACGAGAGAGGGGATGCCAGACCTAGAAGCCCTGGCCTGGCTGGCTGCTCCTTGCACCAGGCTCTGCCCTCCCAGTCGCCTCTGCTCACTGCCCCACAAGGCACCGCTGGCCGGTGTAAGAGCCACACATCCCCATGTCCTCTGGAAGAGGTCTGCTCAGGATCCCAAGACCAAATGTGTCCCACTCAGTTTTCCTTCCTTGTCAAAGGGACCCTAATGGTTCCATGGCGCCCTTCTTCTGAAATCAAAGCCCTTTGCAAACTCTCCCATTAATTTATATAAACTGTCTAGTAAGTAAAGTGAACTCAGGGCATAATTCTCCTATTTCAGAGATGAAAGCCAGAGACAAACAGGGTACTGCGCAAGGTCCCGTATTGCCCAAGTTCCTACAAACTGTTACCGCAGGCCAGAGGCCCGTCCTATCCTGGTACTCTGACTTCACAAACGACACAGGGGAGAGATGAGGGTAGCACTTAGTTGTAACGTTACCAAGCTGCAGAGATTACAAGCCCAGGCAAGCTGCTGATCACCTTGGCCCTCCCCGGTCCCTGCCTCCCAGGTAGAGGTGACTCACAAAGATGCCTGCTGACCTGAGGAGTGGGCAAGTTCCATCTTACAAGATTTACTGAGGCATCGCCCACCCCTGCAAGTTAACTTCTGATGCCTTTGCTTCAGAAGTCCACAGACACTGCCTGATCCCAAGACACCAGGGAGGCTGAGAGCAACAAGCATTTCTCATAATCTGTAGAAGGGGTTGGGGATGGGGGCGGAGAACAGACAGTATTCTGCCCAGGCCCACAAAGCAGGTACCCCCAAAGTCTGGGGGTACCCACCTGCTGCTGTCAGTGTACTGCCTCCGGATCATCCAAAGTAGCAGAGGAATCCGGACCAGTGCTTCTCAAAGTGGCCACAACCCCCAGTGAAGCCATCAAGTAGAGGACGGGGTGGGGGAAAGGGTTACGGAGAAGCTCTTTGGGGATACAATAGGCCATCTGCTTTTGCCTCTGGAGGCCTCACAACTCCAGTGATCTCACCCCTTGGCACTGTGGCCCTGGACTGGACCCCCTCCCACTTACCATGGTGCCCAGAAGGAGGCTGGGCACTTCTCGGGCAGTGCCTGCAGACTGCCCAGGGGAGGGGCCGAGAGAGAAGAGGAGAGGTGAGGAGAGGCAAGCCCCTTGATGGCAAGAAGAGTTCTCGTCAGCCGCTGTATCCCTGGGGCCCGACAGAGGCTGACACACGGTGCAGGGAATGCTAAGAAAAACAGCCGGCGGCAGGGAGTTGGCTGGCGGGCAAGTCCCACGGGACACGGGGCTATGAGGATGGGGTTTCTTCTATTTTCAGCCTCATTCATTTATTCCTGCTTCACTGAATGAACGTTTAAGGAACAGCTACTACGAGGCAAGGACAAAGCAGGGCTCCAGATGAAAGCAGGAAGGGTAAGTGGGAGCAAAGGGAGGGGAATAAATGTTTACTGACTTCTGATTAGTACCAGACACAGACTTACGTTCAAACTGATGCTCTCTAGGAACTCGGTTCGGTTTTTTAAAAAGAAACCCTTCACCGTGAAGCATAGTGAACACAGGTGAGAGTGGAGGGAGGAGCTGGTAGAGGGTCAGCTCTGAGGGGTGGGGCTGCTGGGAGCCCAGGAGGCCTCCCTGTAGGGGAGGCTGGTGCTGGAACAGGACTCAGAGGGTCGGGGCAGGCAACAGCAAGGCCGCCATGGGAGCCACTCAGACAGCATCCACAGGTACGGAGACGACAGTTCTTTGGGGGGGTGCCACCTCCCACCCTAAGGAGATCAGATTGGGACTGAGGCAGAGATCAGACTCCCAGTGAAGCCATCAAGTAGAGGACGGGGTGGGGGAAAGGGTTACGGAGAAGCTCTTTGGGGATACAATAGGCCATCTGCTTTTGCCTCTGGAGGCCTCACAACTCCAGTGATCTCACCCCTTGGCACTGTGGCCCTGGACTGGACCCCCTCCCACTTACCATGGTGCCCAGAAGGAGGCTGGGCACTTCTCGGGCAGTGCCTGCAGACTGCCCAGGGGAGGGGCCGAGAGAGAAGAGGAGAGGTGAGGAGAGGCAAGCCCCTTGATGGCAAGAAGAGTTCTCGTCAGCCGCTGTATCCCTGGGGCCCGACAGAGGCTGACACACGGTGCAGGGAATGCTAAGAAAAACAGCCGGCGGCAGGGAGTTGGCTGGCGGGCAAGTCCCACGGGACACGGGGCTATGAGGATGGGGTTTCTTCTATTTTCAGCCTCATTCATTTATTCCTGCTTCACTGAATGAACGTTTAAGGAACAGCTACTACGAGGCAAGGACAAAGCAGGGCTCCAGATGAAAGCAGGAAGGGTAAGTGGGAGCAAAGGGAGGGGAATAAATGTTTACTGACTTCTGATTAGTACCAGACACAGACTTACGTTCAAACTGATGCTCTCTAGGAACTCGGTTCGGTTTTTTAAAAAGAAACCCTTCACCGTGAAGCATAGTGAACACAGGTGAGAGTGGAGGGAGGAGCTGGTAGAGGGTCAGCTCTGAGGGGTGGGGCTGCTGGGAGCCCAGGAGGCCTCCCTGTAGGGGAGGCTGGTGCTGGAACAGGACTCAGAGGGTCGGGGCAGGCAACAGCAAGGCCGCCATGGGAGCCACTCAGACAGCATCCACAGGTACGGAGACGACAGTTCTTTGGGGGGGTGCCACCTCCCACCCTAAGGAGATCAGATTGGGACTGAGGCAGAGATCAGACTGGGACGGAGGCGGGAGAGGAACAGGTGCTGACCTGTGTTCCCTCCACGGATAAGAGACAATGCATCACCGACTGCTCACTACCTGAGAAAGAAACTTTCTCTTTTCTTTTCCTTTCCTTCCTT